ATTTTTCGCTTGTCGGTTCGCTTTTTGATTCGTCGCCGACATCTTTTGCGTCGTCATCGTTGTGTTCGTCGTCAACGTTTTCTAATTTGTTGACCGCTCCGCTCTTGTCGTCGTCGCCCTCGTCTACGTCGTCCTGGTCGACGTTGTCTCGGTCTTCATCGCCATTTTCATCGTCGTCGTCGTCGTCATCATCGTCGCTGTATATTATTCGCGGTTCGGTATTCGCTTTTGCTAATTCTGCGAATCCGCTAGTACTTGGTATTGCATTACCAAGAATCTCTGTCACTTTATCGTTGTTGTTGTTGTCGTCGACTTTCTTTCGCGATTCGACCTCGACCATTGCGTCGTTCGGTTCGCGTATTCTAGCGGACGTTTTGATTTCACGACCGTTCACTTGAATCGTGATTTCGTACGGCACCTCGTTAGCATCGTTCGCGTATCGCGCCGCCATTGCTATCATTGCTTCCGCCACGATTTCGTTGTCCGTTTCACGTTTTACGCGCACCGTTTCGCACACATTGTTCGGTCTTCCCCTGAGTTGTTCCAGATATAATATCCGTCTGACGATTTCTTGGTTTTCCATGAGTTCCTCGCGCACCGAGTCATGGTCACTTGCGTATGGGTCTGTTGGCAAAGCATCCGCATACGCCTCGGCCAATTCCAATATTAATCGCGCTCTTTGTCTTTGTTCTTCCGCGACCGTATTGTTTCTTAATTTACGCACTACGGCTTCACGTCGTTCGCGATTTGCCTCAATTCGTTTTTCCATTGTGGCTAACGTTACTCTTCGTTGTTCGCGTTTCGGCTGTTGCTCGCGAATTGGTTTCTCCTTTCGTTTATGCGCCACGCTCGTTCGTCGCGTTGCGCGCGCCGCTCGTCGGTCATCGCGCGTATCACTCGCCGTGCTCCGTTTGCCCGTCGACGCCTCGCGCGCCCCTCGTCGTTCGGGTTGCGAACCTCGATTGCTCCGCTTGCCCCGTCTATCCGCGTTTCGATATACCGGGTGTCGTATAATTCGCGTTCGCGTCGTTTTAATT